CGACGCACCGTCCCCTCTGTCGCCGGGGCGGGGTTCACGAGGCTCGGGATGTTCGGCGGTTCAGTGGGCAGCTGTGCATCACGGTGTCTCTACACCGCACAGTGTGCACTACAGGGCTGTAAAAACCAGCAAAGCGCGGCCACACCGTGGTCACGCCGCACTCAACGTGTACACACAACCGCAACGGCAAGTCTGTGGTCATGTGGAGGCGGACTGATGACAGATCCCCCCCTCCCCCTCCCGTGTGTGGCGCGGCGGCCTTGACCCTGGATCCACACTGAGAGGCTGCGTTAATGGAGGCGACACCTGCAGGCCGGCCTATTGTGGTGGGCCCGCCAGGCTCGGCTGTGCGTCGCTGAGCTCCGCCATGTGCGGATGTCAACGAGGTTGTCCAGTTAAGACGGATCCGTGCGGATCCGTGCGGATCCGTGCGGACGCACACGGATTGTGCGGAACTTTGCGGACGCACGTTTTAAAACGCATTGGCAGGTCTAAAACTGGTTGCATATGTGTTGACTAACATATATTTGGAAAAAGGAACATTGTTCTATACAAATAATGCGACTTTTGAGCCATTTTATTCTCTGGAGGTTTTACAGTACCTTATAAACATATGGCTAAAAAGTGACATTATTTTTGTTGAACAATGTTCCTTTATCCAAATATATGTTAGTCAACACATATGCAACCAGTTTTAGACCTGCCAATGCGTTTTAAAACGTGCGTCCGCAAAGTTCCGCACAATCCGTGTGCGTCCGCACGGATCCGCACGGATCCGTCTTAACTGGACAACCTCAGCATTGTTGCCGCCGAGGGCGTGAGTGAAACCTCATCAGGCGCGGAGGCGGAGGCGGAGGCGGAGGCGCGCGGGTGCGCTCTCCTCAGACTGGCGCTGGCGGGCCACTGAAAATGCGAGAAGGTGCTCGTGACTGGCTCATAATTTATTGGCTAAGCGATGATAGCGAAGCCCATTTACTCCGCTGACTATACGCAAAACAGAAAGTTTGAATCTATAGCTCAACAATTGACCCGTCAAAATGGTTAAAAAATCAACGTAGCAGAAACTAATTTTCAGAAAGTAATTTTTTTTTTGTTCGCTTTTGTGGGTAATTGTACTCGTACTAGAGCCCTTCCAGACTTTCAACCAAAATTTCATCAGATCTCCACCTACCGAGTAGGCGGAAATTTTGAGGGTCTCACCGCCGCGCAACGTCTCGCGTAAAAGGCTTCGCGATATCTTAAGATCGTAATTACGAAACATTGTCAGTCTGACAGGCCTGGCGCACCTCCATCTAGTTAAGGGAGACAATGTAAGAAAAAGCTATAATTTTGTACTTTACAAATTCTACTTAGGCACTTTACTGGATTGTCTTCCGTTGTCGCTCGAAGTCGGTGAACTTTGACATTTACAGTGAGAGGCAAGTGCCTCTGGCTGTCCTCCTAACCCGTGCGTCCTTTGACACCCCCTCCCCGGCGCTCCTCTGTTCCCCAACCCTCGCCCCTCGCCGCGCCCCTATCTAGACCACCCACTATGTACTCAACCCGTGTCTGAGCCACGCAACTCGCCAAACTTTGGTATTGTTTCGAGACTGATCCGAGAGAGAGAGAGAGAGAGAGCGAAAGAGAGGGGGGGGGGGGGG